TATGGACTTAACGAACATCTGCAAAGCGCCTTGTGGGTGCTTATAGAGTGATGGGAAGTACTGCAGTACCAGATAATGGCATTTATGACGAATAAAACGTTCTTGCTTGCTAGAACTTACAGTTAATTATTTATTTTTTTTGTAGTGTTCTGTCTGACGACAGGTCCATATGAACAGGATCCTTCCATCCTTATCTCGGACTGGGACCTGTTCATATACGTTCTTGGCAGATGATCCAGAAGTGGTTTGCCATTGCCTTCTTCTGTGTGTGAATGGAGTAATTGTTGGGATGCCACGGAGAAACCGGGGAAGCCCCCGGAGGAAAACTCCGGGTTGCCTAGACCACGGCCTTGCCCAACACAAGTTATAAATTCGGGCACCGCCGGGAATCGAACCCGAGACCCTCCAGGATTACAAGGCCAGCGTTCTAACCCCTAGACCACCGTGGCCACCGCACTGAGCTATGCAGATAATTAATTTAATGGAAGCCACATATACATTTGCAAGTAGATCCTGGATTATTATAAATATTTTGTGTTCTTTGTGATTAAATAATTGTGGCTGAGAAACAAATCACCTTAAAAAACAAATTAGTGTGACGATTTGTTGATTAAATATGTCAGTATCTAAACAGACGTCATTTGTAACTGACGAACGTGTAGCAGAGGGTGAACTGTATACAAAGATCTGAAATGATAAGTGTGAAAAAGATTGAAACATTTTCAAATAAGGAAGGACAACATTCAAGCAATTACAGAGACAGGAGAATAAATCTTATCTAGGCTATGTGGCGCCTCCTAGAACATAAGTTATGCATGCAAATGTAAATGATCTATCTAAAGCATTGGCATAGCTGTAATACATTTGATAAAAGAAATTATTGTAACAGCTGAACTAAAAACTTGTTTCGCTCATGAATTGGAGGAAAATTTAATATTATTTCTCACTAAAGTAAAATATATCATTAAAATACTGACAATAGATCAAAATGAAAAGACTGTACTACCCATGCATCTAAGCTTTTATGGCTTGTGAAAATACGTAGTCCACATGTTGGTTGAATATAAAGTTTTGAATACAGAGAAATTTACATAACTTCTAAGTGCTAGCGCGTTAGTTTTTATTTGTAAAAGTAATGAATCTTGTTTTATTAGCATCATAATATCAAGTTTCATGATGTTAGGTGTTTACCAGCCGCGTACTGAATGAACGTCTGAATGATTTAAAGGATGAAATCCCTGATGATGGAGGCAGTAATCTGTTACGAAACGTCGGTCACTATATACGTGACTGTATGGCGCTACGTCCTAGAAGAATACATATCTCTTGTCGCCGTGAGAACCAAAAATTTTAGAGCGATTAATCGAAAAGTCTGAGAATTTTGATAAAAAAGAATGTCAGTAAGTAGATTACGTTAGAATAACTATGGAATGTACAGACTTAAAGACTAAGCAGACACATGAAGGAGTAAATCAAATTTGCTTTCAGTTTAGCGTAATAATGAAAAGTTATGGCATAGATGGTAATGCACGTTACCAATAAAAGCCAACTGCAGTCCCCAAGCGAGGGGACACGGAATTTAAAGGTATCTGAAGTCATTAAAACACTGTGTAATTATTTTGTGTGTTCAACTTCATATCGGGTGAAAACTTGTGAAAACCGAAACTGAATGAAAATTATTCCTTGTAGAAATTTCAATTCATTAACATTCATAAACAAATTAGAGATCAATTAGACGTTACACTTATTTATTTGTAGTGTTCTGTCTGAGGGCAGGTCCATATGAACAGGATCCTTCTATCCTTTTCTCGGACTGGGACCTGTTCATATACGTTCTTGGCAGATGCTCCAGAAGTGGTTTGCCATTGCCTTCTTCTGTGTGTGAATGGAGTAATTGTTGGGATGTCACGGAGAAACCGGGGAAGCCCCCGGAGGAAAACTCCGTGTTGCCTAGACCACGGCCTTGCCCAACACAAGTTATAAATTCGGGCACCGCCGGGAATCGAATCCGAGACCCCAGGATTACAAGGCCAGATTTCTAACCACTAGACCACCGTGGCGTATTACCTGTTATAGAAAATTAATAAAAAGTAAAGAGTTTGGGGTAGTTTCTTGTGGCCCAAATGTGATTAAAATTCATCCTGCAGTTCTCGTGTTGAATCGTGCGGATAGACAGATGTACGAACAGACATGACTAGCGTTCATGTCATGCACGTCGTGCGAGGAAAAATTTGACCTATTGAACTATTTCTGATCGTAATTTAATTCACTGAAAATTGTCATTATGATCTCATCTCCGGCGTAAAAAAAAAAAAAATTTGTAATATCATTCTATAGATTTCAGTCAGTAAAGAGGCCAGGTTTATATCCTGGCAGGGGTAAGAATTTTTCTTTTCGCTACAACCGTGTGCAGACATTCTCTGAGATCCAAGCGGCCTCCTGTCTGGGGCCCTTTCTTCATGGTTAAAGCGACAGGAGCGTGAAACTGACCACTAACCTTCATCAAACCTGTGCTGATGTCAGTTTTATAGCAGCTTATATTTGCTTCTATTGTCGCATTCGTATCAGCACGGAGCTTAGGCGCTGGAGACACGACAGACAACCATGAAACGGGAAGGAGTGCTTACTGGGCGATGTGCCGTGTAATGGACCTCAGAGGAAAGAGAACAGCAGTAAATAAAAACTCATATTAGCTGCTTTATCAGTTAATCAAGAAGTTTGATTTTACTTCTTGTGTTCAGAAGCGAGAAAATTAAACTTACTTGCGGATGTAGGAGCAGGGTAGCCAAAGTAATGGAACTAATTTGCAAGCTTCGTGAAGAAAAGGAATGTAAACTTTTGTAGAATTTTAAATCTTGTTAGCCAAGTTGTAACAGAGATGTAATAGCGGATGTTTTAAGAGCTGCTTCTATTGTCTTACAGTTTCGTTACGTCAGAATATGAAAAAACTGAACTCAAAGAATGTAAATAAACTTTGAACAAATATGATAACCAGAAGATGCTTTCTCCATTAAACCACCTTATACGGCTGGTAGCCCGAGAAGAATTTATTGTAACAAAAATGCCATTACTTTATTTTAGTTTTATTCCTTGCGTCCCTCTCTCTTTGTTCTTTCTTTCATCTTCCTATTTTTCGTCTGTTTGTTCCTGCGTCTTTCGTGGCGGAGCGTTTATGTTAACCGTGTTAGCCCGGCTAACACTTTAAAATCGAAGAATAAATATTCTTCTGTATGATTTGATTTTTTCACAGCGGTGATTATGAAGATATCTGTCTTCTGGTTTGTTGCGCTGTGTAGTCTGGTCGATGTTAACCAACGTTTCGGAGGTCATACTGCCTCCGTCATCAGGGCGATGAGTATGAAGATTTCTGTCTTCTGGGTTGTTGCGCTGTGTAGTCTGGTCGATGTTAACCAACGTTTCAGAGGTCATACTGCCTCCGTCATCAGTGCGACTACACGGCGTAACAACCCAGAAGACATAAATCTTCAAATATTCTTGTTTTGCATTCGTTGTTCAGTGATACTCCATACACTAGAACACAGAAGAACCGATCAGATAAATTGCATCTCTAACCCCTGCTTCTTTCCTTTTTTTATATCTAAGATTTTGTTCTTTTATTCGTGAATAAAGAAAGAATGACGAGCAGAAATAAAGTAAGGAAAAATAGAATTATAGGAATAAAAATAAATAAATTTTTAAGCAATGGCATGGAAGAAAGAGAGTTTTAGGGCTGAGTGGAGAGTCAATATTCATTCTGTTTTATCTGCAAGACATGTGGTTGCCTGACTCATTTTGCCCTGGCAAGGGTCTCTCGAGAGAAGAAAGAGCTCTTGGCCCCATTCTCGCATTAATATATCGAATGGCTGGTTTACTTCTCGTATTGGTAGTGATTGCTCGAGTCAATAGAGTGTCCAATATATCGATTCGAAAAGGAAGGAAAGTTAATCTTGATGGCCGTGGTGTCTAAATAACTTCTCAGTGTATCATATTCTCGACTGTGATTCGTTAAAGCGGCTGGACTCCTAAGCACGGTCCGATTCCCAGTAAGAATATTATTTCCCTCTTTTGCACCGCTTTTAGAGGTCAACAAAGGTATTTCGTCTCTCCGTTTGTGTTATTTTATAACGAAAAGCGATGATTACTTATAATTAATTCTTGGCCGGGATGTGGTACTTTTATTTCAATAGTATACGTATGTTCCTCAAATACAACCCGAAAATTCAATTACGTGTTCGAGTAGCTTTTGGGTGTTTCAGTACATTGCGTTAACTGAAAAACCAGAATCCAAATGCCACGTTCCGGCTCCCGGCAGGAACTGCATGACCCACCGACAGGCGCTAACAGAAACTTTAGCTGACATTATAACACAGCGGTGCAACTGTCTGACATCGTGCTACAAACTTGTTATTGTTCGTGTGTGTGTCTGAAAATGACTCGACGTATTGTTAAACACCAGTTTTCTTTTGAGGTTTTGTATGTAAAATGTGAGTCCGTCAGAAACATATAATACGAGGCTCGTCCACAAAGTAAGTTTCCCTGGGGCCGTTTACAGAAATAAAACACAATTTCATGGAAATATTTATTGCAACAGATACAGCAAGTGTCCAGCTATTTTTCAACATATTCGCCACCGGAATTGAGACATTTGTCATACCGTGGGACCAACTTTTGAATACCTGGGTCGTAGAAGTCTGCCGCCTGGGATTGGAACCACTGTGTGACAACCATCTCCGCCTCTCTGTCATTCTCAAAACGCTGACGCTGACCGGACAGGAATTTCTTGAGGGGTAGGAAAAGATGGAAATCACTGGGAACGAGGTCCGGGCTGTAGGGTGAATGATCAAACACCTCCCAGCTGAACTCCTGCAGGAGACTTGCTGTCCGTCGAGCCGTGTGCGGCCGAGCGTTATCACTGACCGCACTTCACAGTCGGCGGGAGCTGGAATAAAAATATGTCAGTTTTCTTTTATATTACTACAAAACTTACAAAAACATAAATAAAATTTTAATCCTTCAAATTCTGTGCAAAATCCGTTGTTGAATGTGGCCTGTGCAACTAAAAAATGTCGAACCCTGTTCTGACGTGTTTAAATAAACCAGAACGGAAATTAAAGTTGTTTTACTCTCTTCCTTTGTCGTGTCGTTTGTTTTCTTTTCACCCGATTCGTCTTTGCATCACTAATTTAAAAATTGCCAACGATGTAAGCAAAACATTTCCGCTTTTCCTTGAACGCAGCTGTAATTGGGTCTGCAGATAGACGTGTTTCATCTGTTTGTTCGGAATCTGAAGCAGAAACAAGATATCAAGCTAATTAAATCAAGAATGAAATGGTTAGGACATGTAAGACATACGTCGGCAGTATGAAACTTAAACAGAATTTTGATTGTAAAATCATATAAGAAACAAATAGCGTCTTTGTCTGATTCTGTCCGTGTAAAATATTATTGAGACATAATTTTATATTGATAACGAAATAAAAATGGATGATTTTTCTAATATATAGAGAAGGAAGAAAGATGAGACTAGTTACTGTGATTACTGTGCTCTGTCGGTAATGTATTGTGAATATTGTACAATAAGTTGAAAAGTTTAGAAGGAAGAAGTCTCATCTTAGAATTTGATCATGAAAGTTTGTTAGATGATCATATTTTACTTTGACTGAGAGGTGACATTAAGTTAACTGTTTTTCGTTATATACCCTCCTGAAGGCTGAATGTGGAATGAATAAAACATTTGCTTAATGTAACGTAAAGAAGTCTATATCTTGTGAAGGATCTAAAACTTTGAACTGAATTAATAAAATCCTCTCGGGCTACCAGCCGTGTCAAATTGTTAAACTCGCGAGTTTTAACCATTTTACACGGCTGATAGCCCGAGAGGATTTTATGAAGTCAATATCTCACTTATTTGGACCGAGTTTTGTCGTGGGACACACAAAATTGTATTTGAACATTTTTCGTTTAATAGAAATTTGATTTTGTTTTTAAGAATTTCCTTAGTGTTCTAAAAATTGTCTCGAATTAATAAATGTTCCGTGCTCGGATACATACATATCTATGTGCATATATGTTTTGCTAATAAGTCGTTGAACAAAACAAACCCTGGATATCAAATGCGTCGTAAACGCCACGCACATTATGTTTCTTTTTTCTAGTAGATGTAAACACAAAATAAGTAACACATTTTTGTCGTTCATTGTGATTTTTCTTATTTGCAAATTTACCAGTCTGTACGGCGCTACAACCCAGAAGACAGCCATCTTCGTACTCATCGCCAGGAGAACCTCATATCCTACTCAATTTGTTTTAGTAGAAAGAATTTTTTACAAGTCAAAAAAATTGTTGTTGAAGCAAAATTTAATACTTTTATATAAACCAGTACACTGTGAACTGACTCCACCAACATCTTGCACAACGAACGTAAATACATTCCACCCCACTGTGATAAAAAGAGACAGGGGAAATGACTTGGTACGGGTGACGGCTTAGAAAGTAACAGAGCTTGAAAGACCTGCTTTCTGTCATGCTGTTCGGAATCCTTTTGTATCCGAGTCAGCTATCTAAAACATAAATATTAAAATATACGAGACTTTAATTTTGTTTATTTTAAGGGAGTAACACAAAATGGGTTATTTGAAAACTGTGCATAGGAGAATATTCTGACGTAAAGGGAATGAAGTTGCGAGAATAATATAGCCGTCTTCTGGGTTGTAGTGCCGTGTAGTGTGGTAGAAGTTTACAAACTTTTCAGAGGCCTTTTCCGCCTCCATCATCAGGGCGATGTGTAAGCTCCGCGAGTCGAAGTGGTTTGAGTTATAGGAGGCTGACAGTCTCGCGGCTTACTCATCACCCTCAACCATTTTTGTAGTTGTAGTCCCCCAGTATGAGTACCTAACCATCAATGGTTCAATCATATTTTATGCCAAACTGCCCATAATAATATACATTTATTATTATTAAGTGTGATCAGATTCCGCACCAAACTGCCACTAAGAGTGTTAAAATGAATTTAGTTAGTGAATAAACCGTCTCAGAGCATATAAAACTGACCCCATGTCACAAGTAGCATATTTCGTCTATGTATTTCTCATGGTATTCAAACAAAGAATATTATGAAATACGTGTAATGAGCGAGACACTCTTATTAGGAATGAGATGGTGTGTGCTAATTAAGCTTCTTGCTTAGAACACGGTGTTTGCGCATGAGACAATCTAAGTAGAAATTTATACGTGTATTTTATGTACTTTTCCTTAGACTCTTAGTAGGAATTGTGTATCCTGTATATTTCTCGAGACACCTTCGTTAATATTTTTGTATCTATTTGTTTAAATCTTGTAAGTCTAATCACAATAATTCCTATTAAAAATATTAAAATATTACCATAATTAACATTTAAATATTTAAAATATATTAAATGATATTCTCTATCGAAATGTTCGATTTACATTAGAACATCACTTTTTACACGACATGTTTCAGTTCTAAAAGAACCATCTTCAGGTGTATAAAATTATATAAACTTAAATATAATTTCTTAAATGCAACTTTTTAGTCAGATGTTTATCAGATTTCAAATGAGTATCTATAATTCTCTACCGTTTTTGGAGGCACTCTGCACATATTAAGTGTAAAATGTTAAATCATGTCTAAGCTAGGTAAATTGAAAATGTAAAGTGGACTAGACTGACTCAGTATAGATTTAAATTTCGTGATGTTGATAATACACTGAACCACTGTGATTTCATAATTAAAAAGGAGTTTTTGTTTGGTTTGAAGTACGTTAACTGAAAAAGGATGATAGGTATTGGCAAAGAACTTGGCGTGTGGATGACGGCACAATTATAAATTTGTAGCGATTCTACTAGTAACTGAAAACGCATTTGACTGTGATTCACGACTTGAACTGCTGATAAGAAATACTTACTGGCAAACGAACCTCGGCCGTCGAGGCAGTAGTCTACCCTGGCTTCTTAAAGGGCCGGTGTAGTTCCGTACCAGAGAGTTAAAGAGGAACGCAGAAATGCATCGCCATCATTCCTGAAGAGAATACAGCACGAAGAACTTCGCTGGCTGACGTCTCTGTTTCAATGTCTGAAGACAGAGAGCACAAGTTCGATTAAAAGTTTAGAAATATAAACCTCTGGCAGGAGAAATAAGACGAATGGGGTCAGAAGAGACGCTGAAGGAATTCCAGTGACTGACAGAACCGTAAAGAAAACATGAGAAGGTTATGCAGCCAGCTTCTCAACCGATGGGTCACGATCCCACTGAGGCACGTGGAGGATGCGTCATTTTAGAATAAGCTCATGTGTACGAATATTTCAAATGCGTTATCATTACTCTGTTGACATTGTTGCTAATTTTAGATAGCAATCTACTGTCTTGTCGCGCTATCTTAAGGCTGTTGTTGTGACCGCACTAACACTAGGATCTTTGGTTCGGATCCTACTGGAGGCATTAGTGTGTATTCTCGTTATTCTTCGTTGTTATGTCCTGTATAAATAGAGGCCTGACGACGGGCTGATCATCCATCGAAGGAGTCGTACTAAATATCCAAAGGAATTAATAATTTCAGAAGTATTTCTGAATTTTAAGAGGCCACAAGGCCTAATTCGTAAAACCCATAATAAGAGTCCACCGTTACAAAGGTAAAGCCAGATTATTGGCAAAGTTGATTTGAGGTAAGTAGGCGTTATATTTCCAGAAACTTTGTTGTTCTGGAATTTTCGTGAAGACGGTTTAACTGAGTGACTACAGTGCCTAATTTGTACAAATCAATCCGATTGGAACAATACTGTTCTTGTAGGATTTGAGGTTTTTACGGCGGTGAGGCTGAAGATTTCTGTCTTCTGGGTTGGTGCGCTGTGTAGTCTGGTCGATGTTTACCAACGTTTCAGAGGTCCTTGCTGCCTCCATCATCAGGGCGATGATCGCCAACAACCCAGAAGACAGAAATCTTCATACTCACCGCTGTAAAAATTTCAAATCATACATATTTAATTTGAATTTGTCTCTAACAGACCGGCCTTGTGCATTGTTACCTGCCAGAATTCTGTGTATCCCAAGCTGCTTACCACCGCCTTAAGGAAACACGGATGACGGTGATTCTCCTTTCAACGTTATTCAACTCCTATTCAGAGAAAAATGGAAAAAAGACCTTACCAGAAATTTGCCACTGTAGGTTTCAGAGACTGTTCCACTGTAGAGGAAGCCATTCAAACAACCAGTGTTTAGTTCAGAACAAACAGCTTCGAAACTGCGGCTTTGCGTACTTTATATATCGTTGTGCTGACAGTTACATATGGGCGGTACAAACACGACATTTATTGCCCTTGGTTTTCCTTAAACGTGAGCCACGGAAGTGGTTTAATACGGACTTGTGATGGAGTTTGGCTTCTGGCAGGGGCAGGATTTTCCTCTCTACGCCACATAATGCCTCTCACCGACGGGGTAATGGAAGCAAATGGCGAGGTCATGATACTTGGTGAATGACTTCCACGCCTCCATGGCTTGATGCCTATGCGCAGGGGCTGCCTTATCTTGAGCTTTACCTCACGTTAAACACGTAGACCTCTTTCAAATGAGGTACTGAAAAAAGGGACATGAAGTAACGGACGAACAGAGTACAGTAGCCGTACATAATGAGAGGCCTCAGTACACTACTGATAATCTAATATTTTTAAGGTTGTTAACTAAAAGAATCCGGATAAGTTGGACATGTAGAAAGGACGTGAGGAAGAAAGGGATGTATAACGTTTTGGGCGGGAAACTCGGAGAAAAACATCGCTTCGGATGCCAGTTCGTAGAAAAGATGGTGTCTTAAAATGAATAGGAACTGTTTGTGAAGATCTTAAGCAAGTAGAACTGGTTCAGAGTAGCGTCCAATGGCGGGATTTTATGAGCACGGTGCTGAAACTTGTGTCTTAACAGAAAGGAGTCTTTTCGGCGAGCTGCCTCAAGGTAAACCCTGAATAACCCTTAATCAGTTGCAATACTTAATTAGGTAAATGCTTGTTAGTTGGTTAGTCAACAGTTTACTCGGTTGATTAGTAAGTCTGTAGGTTAATAAGTTAGTATGCAGCCAGTCAGAATTGTTAACGTATTTATTCCTTTCCATGCTGAGTTAATTCAGTTCCTTATTTCAGTGCTGAAGCACTGAGATTTACAGTGAGACTTGGTTTATTAACAGCGTTGAACACCAAAATCTTGAAAATTGAGGTGGCTCTATTTCTGACAGAGAAATCTCTTTTGTACCATATAAACAGGTAATTTGCTTTTTGCCGTCTTTAGATCAGATCGGGATTAGTTGACATCAAAGTGTGTAACACAGAAGAGGCGATACAAGGGTCTGCTCTGCAGATATCGGTCGATAAACACGACTGCGGACTAATTCGAGTTCAAAACAAACAGTCCTTGGTCCATCGATCGTGGCGTTTAATGAGAGTTAGGGGACTGTGTGTCTCCGTCTAACATGTTTACACCGCAGATTATCGTGAATCGTAATCAGCCCGGAGACTCTACTTTAAATGTCTACACTGGACAACAGAACACAGACAAACGAGAAAGGGCAAATGCACCCATAGAGGTCGATAGAAAAAGGCGCGTTTCATTTTGCATCGCTCGGTCACTGCGGGCTCGAATCCCGCTCAAGGCACCGGTATTCGTCCTCGCCATTTTGTGTTCTGCAGTCAGAGGTCCTGCGACGGTCTGATTAGTCGTTTAAGGAGTCCTGTCAAATGTCTAAATAGGTTTGAAACCTTCCGTATATAAGGCAGATGAGGTCCTACAAGGACCGTAGCTGAATAACTCCATGGAGAAGCCCAGTTCTTAAGAAGCTAGTAAATTGTCGCTTAGTTGGTGAAGAAATCTCTTGCCTTCTATGAGTTCCTTTAGGCTGGTCACTGAGGAAACCAATTGTAAGAAACAGGTTTTATGTAATTAGTGCCAGGTTCTCATGGTGGAGAAGATTATGTTTGTTCTTCTGGCTTTGAAGCCGTGTAGGTAGTGACGAACGTTTCGGGGAAACGTACTGTCTCCATCTTCAGGGCCAAAGATGGCAGCGTCTCTAACGAAACCGAAGTTACAGGAAGCCATTCGGCTCAGTTTCGTGTTACGACAGTGGCGTAGCAATCGCCTCATGTGACTGCGTGTGACTTCCATTGTAAGTTATGACATTTCAATTAAACTATAGTTTGCAGTTTTATGAAACCGATTTGATGTAACTAGTAGTTTACTCTGTGTATGAACAGCTTCATTGTGAGAGACCAAGTTTGACGCCCATGAAATTCGTTTTAAATTAAACAGACGTTCATAGATGACACGTCGATCGGATAAGCTTTGACCACGATTTCAATCGTTCACACCGAATGTTATTCAGTGATATTAGTTACCACGTCAGAGTTGAATGCTCAGCCAAATGTGCTCAGAATGTATTTAGGCTTCTAGTTATTGTGAGACTTGAATTAAAGTGAATGCTACTAACACGTGACGGTTCTCATAAAATGTAAATGCAGCATTTATCGAGTTTTGTCGAATTCGTGTCTGCGTTTCAAATGAACTAAACTGAAAGGTCGTTGCTGCCAGTAAATAAGTGAACGGCAGGCAGTGAATCTACTGGTTAACATGTCATGAAAACTAACGCGGTTTTACTGTGGCATTTATACATCATGCTTACATGCCTTCAGCCTAATAACTTCGTTATACTTGTCGCAAGAATGTCCCACCTTCGTTGACCGAAACAAATGCGTTGTCGTCCAGCCAGCCGTGGTACGGTGAAGGAAGGAAAGCGATAGGGCCCCCTCCCCTCTCACAGGTGCCTTTACCAGCTTCCCTTACTGTGACGTAGCTTAGACCCTTGGATATTTTGCGTCGTTTTAGCAGAACGTCTTGAAGACGTGAAGTGGAGTGATGGTTTGTCTGTACACAGTCTAAATCTCGGCATTAGATGGAGTTAATTGAACTTCATGCACCGTTCAGTTCGTCTCCAGGACGAAAGGTCCCTTTACATGTATAAGAGGCTGGGCGTACCTCAGATATGGTCTGGACGCGATGTCGATAGTCAGCTCGCAGTCTGGTCCTTCGCTGTACTACTGCGCCTTCATGCCTTTCAAGGTGTTTCGATACTTGATCCTTGCCTTGTTCATGTTTGGTAGTTTATTTGAACAAACAAATTGCGAGTGTCCCTCGAGACAAGGATGGGCTTGAAATTGCGAGTTGAAAGTGACGCTCTCTCCCGGGGCGCGAGTGGGCGTTCATATCGACCTGTGAGTGGGCGAAGTGGATGAGTCGGCATTATGACGTAGAGGAAATGAATGCCAAGACACACACACGGCAGTGCTTGCATGTTTCGGAGTGTCAAGGGACCAGGACATATTTCCGTTTCGCCAAGCTTGGGAAACGGTTCCTAACAAAATCTCACGAGCACAGAGCGAAAGCTTTGGCAACAATTCAAGCAGACAATTTCCTATTAAATTATTTTTTTCCCATTTCCGCGTCAAACGAATTCTTTTTATTCAAGGTAATTCGACATTGATTTCGCTCTGTATTGTCAGGATAACAGAACGTTTTCTGATAGAACAGAAAGGGTGGATTGGCTTATAAAGTGCCGCATAGAATATCAGTTAAAATACGCTGTTAGACCGTTCTAAAGAGAAGTACAAAATAATTCCTGAACTGGAAAATGAATCTGTGTTGCTCACACATAATAAATAAACTGGGCATTCTTCAGTCACAGCCTCTGAGTGACCTGAGTAATGTGCTGAAGGTAGCTGGTAATTGAAAATGGGAAAAGCAAAGGACCTTATTTAATTAACCTTTGGCTTGACTCTGCTTGAAAGAAGAAAGTGAAAGATGAAACGCTCGTTGAAATACCACGATGGTTTGTAAACATCATATGCGGGGGCGGGGCCTCAAAATCATTTTTTATTTCTTTTTTCAACCCTTTGCGAAATGCTGTGAGCAAAAAGTTGAATTTTCTAATCGCGGAGTCCCTCGTAGCATTTGGTTCCATTTGATTAAACTTCCTGAGCAGCTCACTACGTTCATCCTTCTTCCTTTGCCACTCGGTTGGTATTCCATTATATAGGCAAGCTTTGATAACATTGAGGGAACTTCTTCAAAGCTTCTCTCTTATTTGTATTACCTCTTCCGTTTGTGACGTCTCAGTTAATTTGCGTATTTTAACTGTTCGTGTATGGGGCCCGGAAGGAGCAGCCACATCGAGGCTGAAATTCTTAATTCAAACAGCCATTAGAGAAATTTTAAAGTGAACACAACTGAGACAGTTTCATCGAAATTCGCAATCATTATTTCGAAGCACTGCCTGTTTAAATAACAACAATTTTGCTACTGTATTGATGTTAAATCAGGTAAATAGATCCAAAGTAGCAAGATCAATCCACCGTCGACTACAGCTTCCGGTTGTTTAACGTCTCTTTGTAGGTGACTGTTCCTATTGGTAAAGTTACAAGACGAAGTGTGTTGTGGTTTATGCTATATGAATATCAACTAGAGGCCACCTAATGTCGATTTATTATAACATTTATTTTTATGTATGATTTGAGGTTTTCACAGCGGTGAGTATGAAGATTTCTGTCTTCTGGGTTGTTGCGCCGTGTAGTCTGGTCGATGTTAACCAACGTTTCAGAGGTCATACTGCCTCCATCATCAGGACGATGAGTATGAAGATTTCTGTCTTCTGGGTTGTTGCGCTGTGTAGTCTGGTCGATGTTAACCAACGTTTCAGAGGTCATACTGCCTCCATCATCAGGGCGATGAGTATGAAGATTTCTGTCTTCTGGGTTGTTGCGCTGTGTAGTCTGGT